TTTTAGTAAACATGGAAATTTGGTTGTAGTGCAGATAATTTTCAAATTTTTAAATACTGAATAAATAGTTAATACCTTTTAACGATGTCATGATGATTATTAACTTTAGTATCAGGAAATTATATATTACCACAATTATCGCGCAATAGATCCTAAATAAATAATCTTATTGTAATAAAGCTGTGGATTATTATTCCAGATGAGTGCCTTTAGTAAACAGAGCAGTTTGGTTTGCTTGGTAGGTACATAGTATGCTTTAGATTCAATTAAGTTGTGATTAATTCACCAACAAAAGCGATGCGGGCTGTATCCAGTTTAATCCTTTTATACTTCGATCTTTATATAACTAGTTTTGTTATTGTTACAAGCAACAGTAGCATATTAAGCGGATTGTTTCTTCTTTTACTTCGTTATTTTGAGCTGCATTACGTATCAAATTTAGTATCAATTCGTATAAATTAAGGCTGAACACTTCTGTGTAATAATTCCGTCATATATAAAAAATTATATTAATTGCTTTGTTGTTATTATTATTGTATTACTTATTATTTATATTCTTCACACTATATACATTTCATTTCTATTTTTTATTCAGTAAAGTTAACCGTAATAATTGCTCTATATAATGACATATACGTACTATATAATACTAGCATATTTTTCACTAATTAAATACAGTAATGAACACATTTTTTTTAATGATAATTACTCGGTATGATTAATACAAAGGTTTAGATTATTTTTCAATTAATAATTGAAGTAATAAAAAACAATTACAGAATTTCCACGCATAGCAAGAGCCACTCCACATAAAAAAATAGGTTGGGTTAGTTTAGTTTTTTGGGTTAGGTTAGTTTTTTGGTAGTGTAGCCCCCCCCCCTAGGGGAGAGGGCGAAACCTATTGCATTCATGCATACACTTTACAATGCGAAGCGAGGGTCCATCCATCATATACAAGGTGTCATATATAGAAAGTAATAAAATTTTGAGAATGAATTTTATTACAAATATATCTCGAAAACTATAAAAAACCGTGTCGAGAGAGAGAGAGAGAGAGAGAGAGAGAGAGAGAGAGAGAGAGAGAGAGAGAGAGAAAGAGAGAGAGAGAGAGAGATTTACGAGGAAAAGTTGATCAGAACCTTCATCTCTATAACATATCAAGATCAGGTTATCAAGGTTATCGAAGAGGTGTCCTTTAATGTAAAAGTTTACTAACTTTAATTTACTATATTTCCTGAATCAATGCCGTCCCCCACTTAATGTTTATGGGGAATTACTCAAGACACTCTCCTCTACAACATATAATCTAAAGCACATTGAAATCGGTAAGATGTCATCTAAAATGCATACACTTTACCTTAAATTCATTTATTACATACGCAAAATTTTTCACTGTTTTATACCTGTTTAATACCTGAACGATTTTGAGATTTCTCGTCTCTTTTGATTAAAAATAGGAAGTTTTTATAATACTGTGTATCCAAATATTGTGAACGCTAATGTCACATTATTTGGATACACGGTATTACAAAAACTCCCTAATAATACTCGTATCTCTATTACTGTTGTTTGCCGCTGCGTATGTTCGTCCGGATTAATTTGTAAGTGATTAGGATTTTCAGATGTTGCGTTTAATCGCTCTTGCTGTCGAACATTCGATACTAATTAATTAGCCACTGTCACTTACCATTAGTGCGTTCGTCATTTACAAACCCATCTCACCCTATCATCCATTCCCACGTTTCAAATTAGTTTCATGAGTGAACGGAATTTTTAATCAGATGAGCACATTAATTTTATTCATAGTTATTTTATCTATTTCATCTCGCGTAATAGTGACATAAAAAAAGTTCTTTGTACAATGTCTTTCTAAAAAACTATCGCTTCCATTTTATGAAACTTGATTTGAAAATAATTTATGTTGTGAATAAGATTATACGTTTTAATGAACGTAAAGAAGATGTTAAAATGTGTATAATGTATGTGATTCTGCACAAAAGTAAATCGATTTGAAGAAACTTGCCAATGTGCCTTAATACGCGAGTAAAATGCTGACGTATCAGAAGTCACAGCTACAGGTGCCTAAATGACGTGTAAAAGCTTTCTCTTCCACTGCATTCCTTTCTTTCTATTCTCTCTCTCTCTCTCTCTCTCTCTCTCTCTCTCTCTCTCTCTCTTTCTCTCTCCCTTTCCCTTCTTCTATTCTCTTTACCTCCTCTTCCTCTGCTTCCTACACAGATATTAAAATCAATACGGTATGCGTTTGACTGGTACACCGTATGCACCGCCATTACCGCATGCACCGGCCGCGTATGTACGATCCACCCCCACCTACGTTCGCCCCCACAATCATCCCACGCCATATACCCATCCTCCCTGTAATCCTCCTCCTCTACCTCCTCTTGCGGATGCACGCGAGAACTGCAGCTGCAGCTGTAGCGTCTTGCAACCGACATGACTGAGGGGGATGAGTCGAGGTGCGAACTGTTAAGGGAGAGATGAAGGGCTTGAGGAATTTGACGTTGAGTCAAGGGTAGCTTTAGAATATGACGAAGGGCTTGGCATAATAAATGATCTAATCGGTGTACTCTCAAGTGCTTCTATCTATTTCAAATACTAAAGTTTTTAGCTTTTAAAATGTTTTTAAAATTTATCTAGTTTTCTTGTAAACTGTTTGTGTTTTTGAATAAATTAAACCTTTGAACTCTGTTTGATTCTGAGAAACTTAGATGTAATGATTCCAGACATAAATATTAAAAAATTAAAATTGAATTTTGTCTTCTTATACCTTTCATAAGACAGGTGTTATAAAATTTGTAGAATTAGAAGACATTAAATGTATATAAATATTATAACTTTACTTGCGATATATATTTATTCCTAAAATTAAATTTTATTTCGCATAAAAACATTATAGATTGTTATACAATTTTAAAATATTAAAGTCGTAAAGTTTGAAATTTTCAAATAAAATTTTTATTATATTATACTTACAATACACATAAAAATGTCGTGTGTACATGTGTGTGTATACATATATAACTTATATGTATATATACATATACGTTGTTTTGTTTTTAAATTATTGTAATATGTCATAAATTGCATTATTAAATCTCGGAGATTTTAGATGCTTAAATACCTCAAGTCCTTTGAATCATAGAGTTCTTAGATACTACACATAAGTCTAGGTGTATTAAGGAGGGTATAAAGATGGGACATAATTTCATACCAAGTTAATCAGACGCTCAAGGAGCCCTCGGGGAGACACGCAACGTCAAGGAAGGCTGACGAGGAGAGAGAGATGAAATCGTAACCCACGACATCAAATACTGGCCAAGACATGCCAATGTCACGTAACAGCTGTTGCTAATCGCCTGTTTAACCAAGCTAATTAGGAGGTTAATTATTCAATTGTGACATTAATTATACTTCGATAATATCATACGTTTTATAAGCATACGTTTCGATACTAACATACTGAGGTATACCTATAAGAGGAAATTTTGAAAACTATGATAAGGCGTATACAGAAAAATCCATATTAATTATATCTCAAATTTATACATTTTTTTTATAACAAGTAAACTCTCTCGCCATAGATTGATTAGATTTTAAGCGACTATGTCATTGATTAATTGCGGTTCTTTTCCTAGATCAGATAAAGCTTATGAAAGAGTCAAGAATTTTATATATCATAATTAATTATATGGAAATTTTATGAAATTTTTTATAAGAAATATATTAAATCTCTTCTTCTTTGCATTATTTTTTATATTATAATACGACTATCGTTATATTCACACACGTATTCTCTCTCTCTCTCTCTCTCTCTCTCTTTCTCTCTCTCTTATTTTTTATAATAAAAATAAAAATTTCATTAAATATTTTTTATTTTCTGATATATTCAAAATTTCAAAATAATTCTTCTAAAAATTATAAATAATAATGATAGCAAAATTGGAATCGTCCAAAAAAGTAGAAAAAAAATGAACGGTTAATGATCTGGACTGTACAACAAAAAAGGTTTAGGATATTGTATAAGTCCATGATGTTACGCGAATGTAGCTTGCTCGCGTTGTGCATTTCGCTGACACCTCGTAAAACTGTAAACACGTTGCCGGCATTGGTTTTATCGCGCATTCGGACGGGATTCACGAGCCGCCATTTAGCCGGAATATTATTTCGTCAGGCCGCCAACCGGGGTGAGCGGACGAGTTTAAATTACTCGCGCGATCGTACGGTGCAATTAACGGAGAGGATTTATGTCGAAGTGAGTACTTCGAGGCGAAACGTTTTACGGCTGTTAACACAAAGAATTTGGTGAAGATTAAACGACGTAACATTTAAATGAGAGAAACGGAAATAACTTTTTTATAGACTGGGTGTATTGCTGATTTTAATTCCTTGCACTTTTTGAAATAAATAGAAACGTACGCGATAAAATACATCAAAAAATTCCAACTTTTCTTGAAAAAGAAGCACAAATACCGTTTTGAAAAATTTGCGAATGATTCTAAAAATATATAATATTTCGATTATTTATATCGCCATTTATTTTCGTCATTTACTTAATACTGAAGTAGATTTAATACTGTGAGAATAAAACATGAAATTATTTGATATTTTAGAAATAGAAAGATATAAGAAGCACGATATATTTTTCTAAAAAATCTATAATAATTTTTATTTTAATCGGAATACAATATCTAAATTACCTATACATCACAGAGAAAAATGTTTGATCAAATTAATTGGAATTCCGGGATGGAAAATGAACAATCCAGAATTCTGGTTAAGTTTACTAAATTCCTGATTAAATCTATTAGAATTTCTGAATGTTGGTTATTTCATTGATTTAACCAGAAATCTAACAAAAACAAAAATTCTTGATCATTTTCCACCAGAATCTCCCAGTTAACTCAACAAAACATTTTTCTCTGTAATTATATTGATGACCTAATGCTATATATTAAATCAATTTGTATTTTTTATTTCAGCATCGAGGTGGGGATCAATCTCGGGACTGAGTGCGTGGATCGTGCATGTCCGAAGTCGACGATTCACAAGTAAGTCAGTTTTAACACAAATATATAAATATTTCTGTCTGTTTTCCACTGAGTAATAATTGCGCGTACAACTGCAACTCGCAATTAATCACGGCACGATCGCATAATCTAATACAGAAATTGCACGTGCGACGTATCGCGGTAATATACCGGCAATTGATTGCACGAAATAGAACACGCTCTAATTCGCGCGATTGTACATGCTAAGTTCGGTGTAAATTTAAACTCGTCAATGCGCAACCAATTATAATTATAATATTTGAACGCCCATAACACTTCGACTTATAATACAATATCTTTATACATCAATGTACTTTAAGCATAGCAATAAAGTTGTATAAGTTTTAATAAGTGAATATGTATAATTGTTGATAACAGATTTTTTTCAATAACTTGGCATCTGTTTAAACAACATTTAAACTTTTAGTTGGACTAACATTGCATTGGAAAGTTATTCATTTATTAATATAGTCACGACATGAAAATATCTTTCTTTCCTTTTTCATCGCGATTTTTCTTTTGCGTATATAATGAAACGTCAATCGGGAAGCAAGCGTTAGTATAAAATGCGAGAGTGGGTGGACGAGGAAAGAATAGGGCATAGTTTTGCGCCGGTACCTTGTTAACTCGTGATTGCTGCTCGTCAATTTTAATTACACTCTTTTAACGATGATAGGATCTCAGAACGTTTCCTTGTGGAAAACTTCTATAGAAATATACAGTACTATACGAGTTATTTCAGAATTTGTGATTTCGCTGAATTTATAGAATTGATCATCATGTCAAACAGTTAATTAGTCTTGAGAAAAATGATAACGGATTAAAATTGCTAATTGAACAATACAATTGTAAATAATTGATGTTGCAATTATAAATACTTTTGCAATGAGGTTGCAATATGATTATTAAATTACTCGAAAATTTATTAAATGTAAATTTGTATAATCATTGAATTTTCAGAATTTGTTTATCACAAATTATAAAGTTCATCAAATATACGGATGTGACGGTGCCGATAGGAATATTAAAAGACTGCTTAAATGTGAAATGAATGAATATGTATATGCATAGAATGTTTGAATGAGCAAAAAGTCAGTATATGTATATATTTTTTTGTTACTGAAAATATCAAGAGATATTATATAAATAAATTCTGGATTATAAACTTCTGTGAAAAGATTGTTTTTTTCGCAAATTAATGTGCTTTAGGAACCAAAATAAATAATAAAACGTTATTATCTATATATATATATATGTATACTTTACAAAATTTTCATTTCAAACTTCCACTGTTAAAATGTATTAAATGTTGCAAATTTGAAAAATTGTGGAAAATGATTTTTTCTTTTGTATCAAGGAAAAATTGATTTCTTATATCTCTTATCGATTGAATAGTTGAGACATTCGGTATCTATATATAATTACTTTTTTAAAATAACATTTCGACACTTGTCAATTTCTTGGCAAATAAACAATTCCAACATAACCATTGTAAATTGTGGTACGTGAGATTCGATATTGCGCGCGCTTCCGGACTATTTTCTATTCTTGTACCTTTTCCTGTCCACTCAGTGTACAGCGATTCGTCGCAACCAAATGCAATTGTCCCCACTTTTCTTCGATAATTGCAAAATCGGTTGGAACTTCCTAAAGCGGAATGATGAAGGTTATACGGGAAAAATTGGACGTTTCTTCGGTTATTTCACTGTAATTTCGCGAAATTCAATTTCTGAAAATATCTGAAATTGTTTAAAGAATCACGTTTTCAGGTTATATATAGTGTTTTCAAGTATAATATATTATAGTTTATATTGCATAATTTTTAATTATATGCATATTAAAATTTACATATTTTTTATTTTTGCACTAGACTGCACTATATAGAACTTTCTCGTTTTCGCAACATATATATATTTATTTCAAATACATCTATTTCACCTTAAGTTTCAAAAGTGTTTACTAATTTATCTACAGAAAATAGACCTTTAACTTCATAAAAAATGACGATACAATTTATGAGTCTATGCATGGCTAAACTAGAGTGTACACTTCTAGAACTCAAAGTGAGATAGGTATTGATATTTGGCGAAAGTGAGAAAAAAGTCTTAGTAAAGTTTAATGCAATAAAAAACAGATCTCATATTTCACTTTTTTATTATCAATCAAATTAAAAATGTATACACACACATCTTTAATTTGTAACACCTATATTTTGTAACGTAGAATAAAAAAAAATCCTAAAGGTAGCAATAATCATCAAGTTCATGCTCAATTACATATCTAATTTGTCGCGTGACTTAAAAAATAAGCTGTTCAAATTCACGTAGTACTGTACCTAATTTCATTCCGCAACGAGGAGACAAAAAGTGTGCTTGTTAATTGTACTTGTTAACACTTTCCTGATTTATTAGGAGCAAATGATCGAGCGATCGCGAGTGTAGCGACCAGAAGCGACCGCGTCGCGCGCTACGACGAGCGAGCGAGCGAGTGGCGTTTTATCGATCGGTGGGACCAGGAGATTTACGCGTACATGCCAGCCGTGCCTCCAACGAACATATGTCATGTTATTTACGAGCCGGGCATTACTCTCTGCCCGATTTACTATATTTTATGTTACGTGGATGGACTCGCGATTCTTTCGAATCGGACCGGACGCCGGTCACGTCGCGGAGGTGCGTGCTCGCGCTGCGGTGATCATCACCAATACTTAGTCTAATTGCGTCGCTTTTCACAAATTGTTACTTAGATGGCAACACGGCGAAATAACTGAAACATCCAGTGTCTTTCATGAAATTTTGATCATTCCATTTTAGGGAGTAACTGTTATAATTGGAAACAGAGTATTTGGAATAAAGTTTGTTTATCACAAATTATAAAGTTCATCAAATATACGGATGTGACGGTGTCGATAGGAATATTAAAAGACTGCTTAAATGTGAAATGAATGAATATGCATATGCATAGAATATTTGAATGAGCAAAAAGTTAGTATATGTATATATTTTTTGTTATTGAAAATATCAAGAGATATTATAAAAATAAATTCTGGATGATAAACTTCTGTGAAAAGATGATTTTTTTCGCAAATTAATGTGCTTTAGGAGTCAAAATGAATAATAAAACGTTATTATATATACATACATATGTATATGTATATACATATATGTATATGTGTATACTTTACAAAATTTCTATTTCAATTTCATTGTTACAATTCCATACAAAATATATTTATTACAAAATAATGTTACAGTTTTGTACAAAATATATTTATTTTGTATGTTGAATTTGCGACACTATAAATAAAGAAAGTCTTAAATTTTATGTTTCACTAATTATAAATTTGATTCTGGCAAAGCTTTAAATATTACGTGATATATAAAATTATATATATTTATATGTATAGGATTATATCTCACAGTGTTCCATGTGTGAGAATTAAAGACCATCTGAAATTAATTTAATGTATATGTTTCTAGTTTTCGAAATTTGAAAGTCGTTTTCAGGCCGGCGAATATGCTTGTTATTCGTGGATCGTTAAACGGAAAGTCTAGCAATTGTCGAATTTTAGAGCGACATAAGTTTCTTAGACTCATAATCTAGAGATCTGCAAATGTTGAACTTCTCCCTACACGCATTTACACAGCTTCTCACGTTTGGAGAAGTGCCGAGATCTTTTGGTCACAAAATATTATATATTATCTAATGTTTGTTTCCAAATTTCTAAACTTTTAGCTTGTTGATTTTTCACAATTCTTCAGTTGTCTTTTTTCAATTTGAGAATTAATTTTTTAAGCCTCAATCTTTCAAACGCGTATGTTTTTTTGATTTCTCGATTTTCAAGTTACATTTTTTCAATCTTTGAGAGTTAAAATCTTAGTTTGAGAGTTATTGGGTACGCATTGAAGCACGAAAAATGAATGCGTTCGGATCACTGATCGTGGCACCTCTTTTGTATGGGGGCCATTAAGGATCGTTCGATCATGATCTCGATACTTTGAAGTCGAAATGGGAATCTCGAGGTGCTTAATGGTAGCCATTTGGAGGTCAGCCTCGTAGCGGGAATTTATGTCCTCATATTTCGGCGAAGGTGTCGCGTGGCGCGGTGCCTTTGGGTAACGTCACCGACTGCCTTTCAATCAGCTGACGCGCAATTCGACCGCTTGATCCCTCACATTTTTACCCGTTTCGAGAGGTATAATGCATCGCTCGATCTTCACCACAGAGAAAAGTTTCTTGAAGAATTCAGGGGAGCCGCCCATTTTTCGACACTCTAACATAATGTTCCGTTTAAGGTACAAAATGGCTCTTTGTAATTTAAGTATTGACAAGATAAAAAGTTGATTCACGTTTCCATAATTTATTTAAATGTATAGGTAAAGACTATTTTATATTACTATATTGAACAAATTAAACAAAATCAAGTTTATGTACATGGAAAGAATTAAAGTAGATATCTAAAAATTTAGCTAAATACAGATCTGAAAATGATTTTGTTGGACCATCAAAATAGGTACGTAGGAGTTTCAAGCATGATGAGCAATGTTGCAAAAAGTTATGACATTTTAATAACTAGTTTGAGTGTTCTAATAATTATTTTGATAGTCCAGCAAAATTATTTTCAGACGTGTTCAGTTAAATGTTTAGATATTTTAGTAAAATTGCCCTTTTCATATACGATAATGAAAGAAATAATTTGTTTTCTATTGTTCTTATTTGAATTAAAATTTTCTGTATTATATTTTAAATACCTTTCGGACATTCACAAGTAAAGCGAAAAAAATACATTATCTTTTATATGACAAATAAATTAATAAAAATTAATAGATTAATAAATCCATAAAAAATAAAGCACAAGATAAAAGCATCTTGTTATTAAAATCTTTCGCAAATATAAGGAAGATGAATTTATTTTTAATTTTAAATTAAAACTTTCCCCTGATATTTTATCTTAACAATTATGCGTTAAATTTATTATCTCGAATTATATTATTTTCAAA